GTGAATGCGTCTTTGTTTACGAGTAATTTGCAGTTAAAGTTTGGCTCGCGGAGCCGTGCCACACATAGGGCGCAAGTGACGACACTCTTTCACGAAACGGCGTGGCTGAGCAGACAGAGGCTCACGCGCCGCGAACACTTTTGCGCCGACGATGGCATTCGAGTCCCGCCGACGACTGATTCGTTTTTTTTTTCGTATGTAAAGACATGTAATAAATATTTTTATATTGTTCTTATGTATAATTCCTTTTTTTGTTTCTACGCTATTAATCAAGGCTAATTAGGAGACTCAGGTCTTTCAAATATGAATACAACTTTTTTGTTAATTACAATAAAATGTTTTTTTCGTGTAAATCTATTTTGCATAAATATTTCGTATGGTATGGGAAAGAAATGGCCAGACAGTGATTATTTTGTGTGAGAGAAACCCGAGAGCCGTTAGAATCGTTACAAGTGAAAAGGAACCATCTTCCCTTTCCCCTTCTCGTAGAGGGATTTTCATGTTTCGTGACGTGCTCGCTTTATTCTCTGGGCAGTCTTCGTAACGTGAACAGTGAAAAACTCGTGTTAAAAATGGAAACCACGTTTGTAGATGGAGCAACGATCAGCTATGTGCAAAATCTAGCAAAATGTGATATTACGAAAGAAGAGTTGACGGACGCAATAGAATATCTTCGAGGTAAATATATTGAATGTGTGAGCAATGGAAATATATATTTGTACGTATTGTTATTGGCCTTGTATACAATATCAATTATATTGAATTCATATTTGCAGATGTCCTGATACAATTTAATTTAATTAATAATGAAGCGCCAAGAAAATTATCAAAAAATTCCAAATTAATTGGCGGAAAATTGTTTGAAAAATTAATTAAACTGTTGGGAAAACATAAAATATCAGATGAGGTGGAATATTATATAGCAGAAGGAGAAGACGTGATTGAAGAAGATGTTCACGCCATGGAAGATGTTCAATCGTCTTCTTCAGACGAGCCTCATACGAGTCAAAGAACGGAAGAGTCTTCTCCGGACAAGCCTCATACGAGTCAAAGAACGGAAGACTACGAACCTCCGCAAAAGGTTGCAGCGATGGATCTAGTGCCGTATGACGTAAAATTTAAAATAGTTATGACCGCAAACGAACATCCGAATTGGAGCTTCCGTACGTTACAAAGCAAGTTTAAACAGCATTTGTATTATCACAGTGAAGTTGCACACTTCCGCAAATACATTTTATCTGGTGGAAATTATTGAGATAAGCTGCAATTAATAAAACGGAATGTGTATGATCGGTTTACGGAAGCAAGAGAGCAAAGGCAACTTGTTACACGACGTCTCCTTCAACAGTGGACGATGGCTGCAGCCGTTCAATATAACAAACAAGGAGAAGAAAGCGAAGAACATGACAAAGCTTTCCGCTTTGTAGCATCGAACACATGGTTAACGTCATTTGTACGTGAATACAAAATTTCTAACCGTCGAGTTGTTCGGTATTTGTCAAAAAGAGAAATAATATCACCGCAAGCTGTGATGGAATCCGCTGTACACTTTCAAGAATTAATTAGAAGTATATCACTGGATTACGACCTGGATTTCATAATAAATTCTGACCAAACGGGCTGCGAATATCGCGTAAATGTTACACGCACGTACACGCATACTGGAAAAATTGGTACAATTATATATCGGCGATCTAAACAAAGTGACTCACTCTTATACTGCACAATATTCTGTCACACAATCGAGCAAGCTATTAAATAAAGTGTTCGTTTGCTTACAAGAGACTTCCGACACATTTGGAGTCCGGGTACAGAAAGAGGTAGATGCGTTATTGCGATTATATAAAAATGTTGTTCCAGTCTGCTCCAAATCAGGGAAATTAACAACGTCTCTCTACCAGCAATATTTGAAACTGGTTCTCAAGCCGTACGTTGGTAATCATCAGTTTTTATTTCTTGTTGATTCTTGGGGAGGACAAAAGAATATCCATATGTATAACGAAATATTTCGCGATAATAACAATAGGCCAACGTGTAACCTACAAATAATACCACCAAAATGTACGCCAATTTGTCAACCGTGCGATGTTTATTTCTATAGACAGGTCAAAATCATTATAAAGCGTATACAGAACTGTCCTTCTTTATACTGGCGACGAAAGTATAAATTTGAACACTTGCGCTGATACGATTCGTATACAATCGCTCACACAGTATCTATTATCAGCACCAGTTTTCAATTTTATGCTCCAATATGCGTGGTATGCGTCCAGTCTTGTTGACAGTCGCGAGGTATTTTACAATGTCAATCAAATATATTTTCCACCAACTATGCATAGTCAAAAGTGTATTCGTGCAAAATATTATGCGTTCATTACGTGCAGTTGGTGCAAAAAACTATTATGTTTTACATGCTTTTATACGACATTCCATCCGCAGAGTTGCGACAGCATGACCACATTTTATAATACGTAACTTTCATTTATGTGCCTTATATTTGTCTTGTGTGTGTGTCTGTATGTGTTTTGATACGAACAAAAACATTTTATTGTAAATAATAAAAAAAGTTGTGTTCATATTTGAAAGACCTGACTCTCCTAATTAGCCTTGATTAATAGCGTAGAAACAAAAAAAGGAATTATACATAAGAACAATATAAAAATATTTATTACATGTCTTTACATACGAAAAAAAAACGAACTAGTCGTCGGCGGGACTCGAACGCCATCGTCTGCGCAAAAGTGTTCGCGGCGCGGGAACCTCTGTCTGCTCAGCCACGCCGCTTCGTGAAAGAATGTCGTAACTTGCGCCTTATGTGTGGCACGGCTCCGCGAGCCAAACTTTAACTGCAAATTACTCGTAAACAAAGACGCATTCACGCATATTATGTTAGGGCGTTTATACACGGCATCATAGCTATCGAGTATGCTATGACTCGTGTTGAAATCGATGAAACAGGTTGCGTCCTCTCCTTGTCAGTACAGTCGAAAATAGCAACAGATAAGGTGCATATCCGACACTGCATTCTTTACGAATTCCAACAAGCTGCAAAAAATGCTGCAAGAGCGTGCGAATCGATTTGTTCCTTTCTCGGCGAAGGTGTTGTATCATACGATGGTACGCATTTTGGTTTAAGCGGTTTAAAAGCGGTAATTTCAGTCTAATCGCCCTGGAAAACAACGCCCTGGAGGCCCTCCGAAATGCGATAATGATGATTTGGAACAACTACTCGCTGAGAATTCGGCACAAACACAAAAAGAGCTTGCAGAACAGTTGGGAGTAACGCAGCAAACGATTTTCAAACGCCTACATGAGATGGGAAAGATCCAAAAAGAAGGAAAATGGGTTCCGCATGAACTCACTGAAACCAACAAAAATCAACGAATGGCAGCGTGTCTTTCTCTTCTCAATAAGCAGCATCGAAAGTATTTCTTGTGGAAAATCGTTATGGGCGATGAGAAATGGATACTCTATGACAATCCGAAAGGCAGAAAGTCATGGGTAAATCCCGGCGAATCATCAAAATCGGTCGCAAAACCCAATCGCTTCGGAAAGAAGGTTCTTTTCTGCATTTGGTGGGATATCAAAGACGTGCTTTATTGTGAGTTGTTGGAACCGGGTTAAACAACCATGAAAGAAGGAGGGCGGCGTACTAGATGGCGACGGGATGCCGTGCGTTCGGGACCTGCATCTTATTTTCGTTCCGAAGAGAGAAAAATATCGAGAGCGCGGTAGTCGCTAGACCAGGAATTGAGAACCCGGGTCTTTCGCTTGCCGGGCAACTGCTCTAAACCATTGAGCTACCTGACGCTTCACGCTCACGACACTCTCCTCTCCCTAGTTAACGTTGAGAGATGTCGTTCGGAAGCGACATCTCTAGTGCTATCTCGAGCGCACGGCGACTACAGAGAGAGGCATTGTTACTTGTACCTAGTGGTACAAGATGGTGGTCTCTCAAAGTCAAAGGTTGCTATCCTTTAAGACCTGCTGTCTATGTATGCCGGCCTCCACAGTTACTGCGGACTGCTACCAACGTCAATTAATCTGCTTGAGTCAAGAATTGGAACGAAAACGCCCGTATACTGGCAAAGGGGAACGTCCAATGAAATTGTTGCATGACAACGCCAGGCCACACATTGCTTCCAATACAAAAGACACTAATGAGTCTTGGCTGGGATGTCTTGCAGTACCCGACGTATTCACCATACATTGCTCCATCCGATTATCACTTGTTCCGGTCGATGCAACATGCCTTGTCCGATATGCACTTCCAATCAGTGGATGAGATCCGAAAATGGCTTGACGACTTTATCGTGTCCAAAGACGTAACATTTTTCCGAGATGGAATTCATCAGCTGCCTGAAAGATGGCTTAAAGTTATAGAAAGCAATGGCGAATACTTTGATTGAACAATTTAATTTACTTTCTTTTAAAATAAACCTTGAATGTAGCTAAAAAAATTGGATTATTCATTTGTACACCTAATATTATATAATGCCTATGTAATATTTATAAAATATTACGCAGAAACGATAAAAAATTACATATAATTTCAACATTTAAAAATGTAGATTTAATGTTTCTTGCTTATTGGAAATTAATCGATTTAAAATGATGGATTAAATATGGCTGATGTTGTAACTTAAAAAAATGTCTAATATATGGAATCGCTCATTTTGAATCAAACATTTTTGACATATTTAAGTATAAATATCTTATTAATCATAATCGATGTAAAAATTCGTTTTAAAGACTGAAAGTCCTAACAAAACATTTAATTTTCATTGCAATAAAACTTCTCTAGCATATTACATCTCGTTATAATATGTCAAAATATGTGAAAATAGTCTTTGTTTGCAATTTTATCGGCAAATTTCTCGAAATTGTGATATAATGAAGTAATTTAGAAATCAAACTATTTACCATTGAAACAATTATAGGAAATGATTATTCTCATTTTTCGAAAAATGTCATTTTTGTCAAACTATGTATTTCTTTAGGACAGTTGATCACGTCAGAGATAATCATGGCTAGCGAAAATGGTTGCCCCATAGAATTTCATCGAATCGACGTGGACAAATGTGACCCGGTTTTCGACAAGGAGTGCCAAGGTAATAAATACATTCCATTCCTTCGAGCGGATTACGATCGTCAAACCGGGCGCAGTCCTAACAGTCCTCGGGAGCAGGTAATTCGCAATTTTTTCGAACTGTGAATCTGCTTTCAATTTTGATAATTAAATCGCATTCTCCAAGACGCTAATATATTATTAAACTACGCCAAGACTCTGAAAACAACAAAGTCGTGAAAAATAGCTTTGTATATCTGAGATTGCAGATAAATAAAGTAACGAGCTGGATCGACGGTAGTTTCGTCTATTCGAGTAGTGAGGCATGGGCGAATACAATGCGTACTTTTAAAAACGGCAGTCTTCTCATGGAACAGATAAGACAATTTCCTGTGAGGAACACTATGCGTGCGCCTCTCTTCAATCACGCGGTTCCGCATGTAATGCGAATGCTTAGTCCAGAGCGGCTATATCGTAAGTAAATAATGTATTTGTATACGTAAATTTATTTGAAAATTAAAAATCGCTATAGTAATTATTTGAAATTTAATAATTTTGGATATTATCATCAATGGTTACTCTACTATATCACGTTATAATTTCTGCACCAAACTTAATTATGCTTATTTGTACTCGCATTCTATATCTTTCGTTTTAGCATTCCCTGTAATTTATTTCTTGACTTTTGTGAAAGTATCTAACAATTAATTATATGACGCAGTTCTCGGCGATCCAAGAACGAATCAGCATCCACCGTTATTATCATTGGGAATTTTATTTTATCGATACCATAACGTCATAGCCGCTCGCATACAAAGACAACATCCCAATATGTCTGACGAAGAAATTTTTCAGAAGGCTCGTCGAATAGTCATTGGAACGATACAGGTGTGAACGATATATATTATTTCTAGTTTTCTTCCCAATATATATATAGCTAGCATACATATCTATTGGGTATTGAAATTTCTACAATTATACGTATGCAACTAGAATAGAGAACTGAATAACTTAAACTGAAAATAGAAGTTTTCTATTTTTAAACAATTAAATAAAATTTTGAGTTGTTAGTAAAAAAAATTGATGAAGCATGTGTAGTGGGTTGAGACGGCGTGATTATATAAAAAATGGCTAATCGCACGATTGTCTTTTAGCAATAATTAATATCGAGTGTGTATATGTGTGTGTGTGTATGTGTGTGTACAAGGTGATTCAGAACAACTTTCTGTCCTTGAAATGACGTTCTTGAACGAATTTTAAAACGAATCCTAAGACAACTTCCTTTTTCAAAATGTTTGACAAGAGCGCTATCATAAAATTAAAAGCTGTACCTGATAGAGATTGCGATTGACAAAATGTCAACCTCTGTTCTTTTTAATTTTGCTATCATGAAGGAATGGAGAAAGAAAAGTTCACAATTAACGATCAAATTGATTGTAAAATTGAAAATAAAATTCTTTTTAATATTACGGGAACGAATGCGCACTAACAAGTGCTGTCATTCTTAAAACAAATAATCTTTACAAAGAAATATAAATTCATCGGTTTTTATTAAAAGTAAGAATATTTTATGCTTTTCAAATTATAATTAAGATTCTTTCTCATTTTTATTTTCCATTTTTCTCGTTTGTATTTTCAAAGCTTATTTTTCACTTTGGAAATGCTCGTGTAATTAAATATTTTATCTTCAAATATTAAAACATCTAATTTTAATTTAATTACGATTAACTTAATTTATATTAATATAATTAATTTAATATAATAATTAATTTGAAACGCTTCATTCACTATTACGATCGTATTAATCCTTGCTATTTGACGATCACATTAATTCATTTATGTCGAATAACATTGGCGTTAACTGTTACATTTTGTAATGCAATTATATTAGTTTGGCAATTAAATAAATGCGGATATTTTTAAAAAAATAAAAGACAATTTTTTCATAGAACGAAATAACTTTATGCAGTAATATCCATTTTTATCAATGACTTTTTGCCATTTTTCAAGTAGCATCATAATTTCACGTTCATAAAACTTCTAGTTTCTATCGGCAAAAAATTGAACCAAATGCGATTTGACATTATTATTGAAATTTTTATCATTCAAAAAGTTTTGCAAAGAACGAAATAAATAATATGATGATAAATAATAATCTGATGATGCAAGGTCAAGACTATATGGTAGATATGGCAACACTCAACTGAGCTCCAATAATTTTTGCCGAATGACCAAAGATGTGTGTGGCCTTGCATTGTCATGGTGGAACACAATACATTTTTGATTTGCCAATTCTGCTCAACACTTTTTTTGAATTGTATTGTTCAGTTTGGTTAGTTGTTGAATATATATATCTGAATTAATCATTTGGTTGCATAGTAAAATTTCTAAGTAGACAATTCCTTTGTAATCTCACTTTGTAAACTGATAATATTGCTTTCTTTAATGAATATCAACTTTGGATGTTGTTTGCACTGGTTCATCTTGCTTGCTCCGCGATTTTTTTCGATTGACATTGTTGTAAACAACCCATTTTTCATTGCCAGATATCAATCGTTTCAAAAATGAATCATTTTCGTTACGTTTCATAAGCAAATCGCAAATGGCAATGCGTTGTGTTAAGTGAATTTCTTTAAGTTCATGAGGAACTCATAAATCGAGTTTTTTACGTAGCCAAGTTGTTTTAAACACTTTTCAATGCATATATGTGATACATTGAGCTTCTCTGCAATCTCATGTGTTATGCTATGACGATCCGCATCGATTATTGCTTTGATTCAGTCGTTATCAATTTCACTTGGACGACTAGCGCGTTGTTCATCTTTGAGTGAAAAATCATCAAAATGAAATTTAGCAAATTAATTTTGACACTGCTGTTCTTTTAAGGTTTCGTCACCATGCATAGCACATAAATTTTTTTGAGCTTACGATGCGTTTTTTCCTTTGCGGAAGTAAAAAACAAAATATGATGAAAACGCCCTTAAGAAAAATTATTTTATATTTTTAAATTAATTTAAAATTACTTATAGTTAACTGTAAGTAATTTATAATTAACTATAAGTAACTTTAGGTAACTATAAGTAAAGTTAATTTGAACATCTCAAGGGGAGCACTCTATGTAATTGGTCAAAAAAATCGATTTTTTTTCTACAAAAGTCGACAGTATTTGATGCAGAAAATGTGTTGCCAAAGTTTCAGACCGAAACTCGGCTTAGAAATGCGTCTATAGTCGAGTAAATGCAGCGCGCGTTGGGTGGAGCGGCGCAGGTAACTGCTCGGCGCGTGCGTAGCAGGGGCGCGCAGTCAATTTCGCTCGATCCTTCGTAACAATACAGGTTTACAACGGGTGTGCGAGCAGATATTTACTTCTCAAATGTATCTGCGTGTTGTTTTTACAAGCAAATTATCGCATTTGTTTCGCATTCCTACCGCACTGTTTCGTAGTGCGTAGCATATTCAGTCGTCATTTGTATTGCAACTCGTGAAGTAGTTTTGTGCTCCGTTCGTGTATCTGTTCGATTTTAAAATGATTTGCAAAGGAAGTAAAGAGGCTTTTGTTCGTTATGCGAAGCCTTCTAAACGCAGATTTAGAGGCAATCAGTTTAGTAAACGAGATGGTAAATCGGTGAGTGAAAGTTATAATGCAAGAAAATTAAGTACTGCTCAATCGAACGAAATTGTCATTTCTCTAACGCACTGTTACAGAATAATTGAGTTCATTTATGTTTTTGGTGCACTTACGGATTTCTTGAAGTGCAAAACGTGTAATCAAAATGTGACTTTTGCTGAATCTGACTATAGAAGGCTTAGATTTAAAATTATTCTTTCGTGTCGGTGCAGTCGACGAATAATAAATTCGAGTCCTTTTATACTATAATAGTTTTGAAGTGAATCGCAGAATTACTTTTGTAATGAGACTATTAGGAATCGGAAGAGAGGGAATAAATTTGATTTGCAGTTTAATGGACTTAGGAAAAAGAATGAGCAGTGAGACATATTATGCGATTTTACAGCACATTTACTACGCGTCAAAAGTAGTTTTTCTTCAACTAAGAAAAAAGTGCAAGAAGAGTAAGCTGAAAATGAAAAACATGAAAGATTATTAAACAATTTAAAGGTGTCTGCTGACGGTTCATGGAAAAAACGAGACTTTTCTTCTTTAGACGGAGTGACGACTCTCATCGCGTACTACAGTGACAAAGTAATTGATTTAGTGGTGAAAGGAGCGTATTGTCAGAGTTGCACAGCATGGAAAAATAAAAAAAATATGGAAGAATATCTGTTGTGGAAAGAACAGCACGAAGATGAGTGTAGTGCTAATCACAAAGGATCGTCTGGAAAAATGTAGGTGGACGCCATGCTGGAGATGTTTGGTAGATCTGAAGAACTTTTCGGTGTACGATATTGCAATTACATCGACGACGGAGACTCCAAGACATTCACTGCTATATTAACCGTTTGAGTCCCAGGGGGTATTGAAAAAACACTGTCGAAGAATCCCAAACAGCGCAACCGCGCTTTCTATAAATGAGTATGAAAAGACCCAAGCAGCGCGATAGCGCTTTGTTTATTTTACATCGATGAATCCCAATCGGACCAATACCGCTTCTTGTATTTGTTAGGTAACGCGATTCTCGTCTTTTTCTCATCGCTCTGTCACATTTATTGTAGTTTGCAAAGCGATCGAACGTATTCTTGCGTAAGTGTTTCTCATTGTTAATAATTGTGTGTTTCAAAATGATTAGACGAAACAACGGAGCAACGAAGCAAAAGGAATCCATCCAACATGTTTTGATAAACACCGATGTTACAAATTATAATTGTTACTCTCCATTTAAATTATTTGTTCATAACACAAAAATATTGTTAATTTGTAATTCGTTATTTTATAAAATACATCTGTATTATTACATATGCGTACTGTAAATTTATAAATATTTCAAGTTTTGTTCGATAAAAATTATTGAGAAGATAACAATGAAATAAAAATTTTTATTTTGTAATGTATTATTGCATTATTATAGTATTATTCTACCTATTATAAAATGTACTATTTACATTAAAAGGATCGGTGTGATATACTTGCTTCAGTAAATCTGAGCGCGCGACTTCGACAATCGGTAACGCACCGTCAGTTGTCCACAATGATCGAAATGTACTGGGTTTTCTCGACATAAAATCTGAACAGCGCGATCGCGCTGCTTGGGACTCAAACGGTTAAACATGAACCCATACGGCGATGACTTTCTAGTAACGAAAAGTGAATGCATTAGTCATGTACAAAAAGGAATGGATTCGCGGCTTCGCAATTTAAAGAAAAAAGAAAAACTCGGAGGCAAAGGAAAACTCACAGATAAAAAAACCTTAATAAAAAAGCTGACGACATATTACGGCTTACCAATACGACGTAATACTGAGTCTGTTGATGATATGGAGAAGATTATTTTGTCGACATATAAACATTTGTGTTCAACAGATGATAAGCCTATGCACGAGTACTGTCCAACAGGAGCCGACTGGTGTCAGTGGCAGGTCGCTCAAGTTACAGAACAAATATAACCATCCTACGTCACTGCATGCAGATTTGTAGAAGCATCTTTTACCTATTTATCAAGATTTGTCAAATAAAGACTTACTACAAAGATGTTTAGGCGGTCACATGCAAAACGCGAATGAAAGCTTTAATTCAACGATTTGGCGTTTGGCTCCAAAGCATCTACATTGCGGCATTAAAACTATTAAAATCTCTGCACTCATTGCTGCTGGCGTATTTAACGAAAGATACTTCGCAATTTTAAAAATAATGGATATGCTACAACTCGTAATTGGTTAACAAGCGAAGCAATATGATGACTCGTACGACGCCGCGCAAGGAGCGAGCCACCCTT